ACAATCATTCAGGATTTTCAAAAGAACCAAATTTCAAAAAGCTGCGAGATTTATTGAGAAATCATAAATTGTTCATGATTTCAAAGAAAAATCGCATATCATAAAAAAATCACAATATCAACTAGATGTTCATGAAAAAAACATGATTTTTTTTAAAAATCCAGTATTCAAAGTACATTCTGGAATTAGAAAAAAAATATACATGACTTTTTTGAAATGTTTCCAAAATTAAAACAGGCCCGTAAATGATGAACAAAACGAAACATCGCCTGCGTCGAAGTTTTAATAGGGGATCTGTAGAGGTCAATTTATGATTTTATTTAGTCCCTCGCATCGGGTAAAAAAAAGGTTTCCATGTTTCGTACGACGCTGAAGCCAAAAAATATTGACACAATTTTCTATGGGTTAGTTTTTGTAAACTATATAAAATGACTAAATGTCTATTTTGCCTCCATACACAGCTATGTTTATTCTGGTACCATGGTAATTGTTATGACAACCACCGCTACGCTAGGTCAAGATTATATACATCATTCATCAGTCTAGCTTAGGTAGGGTTCATCAATATTTTTTGCCACGCAGGTCTTCCACCCCCGCGCGCTAATAGGCCGGCCCATAATTGGCTGGGGGTGGGCCTTTTACTATTCTTTTTTTTTTGCTTTTTATTTCCTTATTTCTGTTTTTATTTTTTCTTATTTAAATTAATTCAGGATTTTTTAAAGAATAAAATTCCGAAAAGCTGCGGGATTTATTGAGAAGTAATAAAATATTCATGATTTCAAAATATTTTTTGCATATCATAGAAAAAATTCGGAATATCAAATAGATGTTCATGAAATAAAAAAATCATGATTTTAAAAATAATAATCCAGTAGTCTGGAATTAGAAAAAAATGTACATGGCGTGCCTCCTCCTCCTCGACGCGCTAATGGGCCGGCCCATGTGCGGCTGGTTGCGCCTGCTTTCTGTTTCGTTTTTTGCTTTTTACCTTTTTAATTCTGTTTTTGTTTTTCATTCTTCACAATCATTCAGGATTTTCAAAAGAACCAAATTTCAAAAAGCTGCGAGATTTATTGAGAAATCATAAATTGTTCATGATTTCAAAGAAAAATCGCATATCATAAAAAAATCACAATATCAACTAGATGTTCATGAAAAAAACATGATTTTTTTTAAAAATCCAGTATTCAAAGTACATTCTGGAATTAGAAAAAAAATATACATGACTTTTTTGAAATGTTTCCAAAATTAAAACAGGCCCGTAAATGATGAACAAAACGAAACATCGCCTGCGTCGAAGTTTTAATAGGGGATCTGTAGAGGTCAATTTATGATTTTATTTAGTCCCTCGCATCGGGTAAAAAAAAGGTTTCCATGTTTCGTACGACGCTGAAGCCAAAAAATATTGACACAATTTTCTATGGGTTAGTTTTTGTAAACTATATAAAATGACTAAATGTCTATTTTGCCTCCATACACAGCTATGTTTATTCTGGTACCATGGTAATTGTTATGACAACCACCGCTACGCTAGGTCAAGATTATATACATCATTCATCAGTCTAGCTTAGGTAGGGTTCATCAATGCAGTTTACTCAGCCAAAACTAATTCGTTGTGGCGCCTTAGGAAATCAAATCATGGTCAAACCATCACTTTTTTTTGAAATGACTTTTCAAAAGTCTCTTATCTCATCATGACATCACTTAGACATAGTTTTTGAAATGACATTTTAAAAGCCCTTATCTCACCTTGGCATTTTAAAAGCCATTATCTACCACTCCCGCATAGTTTGATAGTTTTTCCTCCCGTTGCAACGCACGGGCATATTTGCTAGTATATAAATAATGCTAGAATCAGGGCTGGCCAATACACCACGTGCAAATAGCCTGTACCAATAACTGAGCATGTATACCTACCCTGTGTATGTATTTCTACCCTTTTTTTGTGCATGGTTATGTATTTCTACCCTTTTTTTGCATGGTTATGTATTTCTACCTTCTGTAATGCACTTTCTCTACCGTAAAATGCGAAATTTTAGTCCGCCGATACGAGAATCTGCTGAGCGGGTGTTTCCCCGTTCCGGGAGTGGAGTTCTGGAGTGGAGTTCTGGAGTGATGAGACTCTGAACATGCCCTTAGTGAATACCGTTTGTCCCTAATAGTGTACGGGTTGAGATTCTCTGCTGTAACAACATAACAATTTGGCTCTGATGTTAGCAACTCTTCATCATGTACTGAGTTATGATCTCAATCCAGCAATTATGCACTACCGTGCTCTATCAAAGAAAAGGCAGCCGCTGGTTTTGCTGAATAATACCCAAGTTTGAATGACAGCAAAAGAAAACGAAGTGCTGGTGAGTCATGTTATAAATAGTCCCATATCTTTATTCTTAGAAGATGCTTTATACAGCACTCCCTCCGTAAACTAATATAAGAGCGTTTAGATCACTACTTTATAATTATCTAAACGCTCTTATATTAGTTTACAAAGGGAGTACAAGACATGGAACCAGCTTGGAGAATAGGATCCCTACAAAGAGGGTTGGACAATATGCTGACATAATGTGTGAACAGTAAGTAGTACTAATCAGTCATTTGTCAAGTCAGCATATATAGCACCTAAAGTACTCACTGCATAGAGTGGAAAATATACAAACCGAGGGAAAACTGAGTGGAAATATATGCGACCCGCATAAAACATGTACCCCCGAAATCATCTAGATACAGTGAAGAAAATCATCTCATCTTGAAAGGAGAAGACCACATATAATAAACAACATGACTGCAAAAATTCTCTGCTAGATACATCTAGAAACAGTGCTCCAGATATCCTCCGTTATCCCAGTGGCAGCATAAATACGTGAAACCGAACATCATAAGTACAAAATCAAAAGGAAACTCTATTGACACCAAATATCAGTTTCAAAGTGGTGACTGAGATTTGATAATCCACAAGGGACCTTTTGATAATTCTAAACAAGCTACATATCCTCGATGTCTTGCTCAGATGATGTGGGGCGACCTTCATACCCCAATTTTGCTCCTAAGCTTCCCGTGATAACGCTGAATTTCAGTCTTATCTCCCTCATCATGCTTTGAAGCTGCTCATCCTCTGGATCAGACAAAGGATAGTTGCTCACAAGTGCAGCTAGTTGCTCCATGTATTTCCTCACCCGAGCTGAGAATGCATCTTGATCAAGGCGAATTACTGACATCCACACATCCAAGCAGCCCTGATAGAATCCCAGTTCTTCGCCTGCCTGGAAACCATTCTTTAAGCCAACCTGCCTCCCCTCATCCTTTCCAGATACCAGGCCATCTTCATACCCATTTGCATAACCCTCTTGATAATGTGTCTCATCTAAGGTTAATGTTGGTTCAAGAAAATCCATGATATGAACCAAAGTCTAATATCGTCGAACAATATTCAGTTTGCAAAAATATGTAATTCCAAGAAATCTGCCCCATCAACAAAATAAAGGTTGCAGCAGTAAGTAAATATGAAAAAACTCATGATTGAAAGCAACGTTATAGATCAAGGGAAATCAAACTTTTGCTAAAAATATAACCTAAATGTTGTTGCAGATTGAATTAAGACAATACAAACGATTGATTAAAACTCAAAAATCAAAGAACTTCGAAACATTACACATGAAAAGTGAAAGTAGTCCTACATTCCATCCCCTTTCTTCCTTTGCCCCGACATGGATAAGTAGGGAATTTATCCTCCCTCTGTCTATTACGCCTTTGACACAAAGAGGTACGAGTACATTTTATATTGTTCTAATAATAACTAAGGATCTATATCCTGCAGGTTATATACGGCACTAATGGCTATGGGCCACAAATAAAAACAGCAAGTACTACATTCTACAGCCACCCCATATCTAAATTCGTTCGTCAGAGATCCCTCTTGTTAGATTAACCTATCGATTTATATGGCCTCAAAACAAAATGTGTTGTCTAAAAGTTCCTTTTTCATCAGCATCATGATTATCAGGACGCACCGCCCCCATCTAAGAGTCGTAGTCAGTTAGTCACAATCATGTACAGATGTACCATGTGTTTGACAAAAGTGGGGATGCCCAAAACCTAGGTCCCCAATCTTATCATCAGAAGGAAGGGTTTCCTCCAAATTGACTTCTAAACCGTCTTACAGTTCAACGAACACACGAATCCCTACAGTCCAAACTTAAACAGAACTTCTATGGTTAATTTCATCGGTACAGCAGTGCGTACGGCTAATCCAAAAGGGGGCAGGGGGGGGGGGGCGACTGCCGACGGGCCGCAGCCGGCAGACTGACGGCGAGGATCAGAGAAGTATGGCAGTAGTACAATTATTTGGAAGAGAAATCAGAGGAGGGAGTTCGCCGCACCTTCGTCTTGCGATAGCCAGCCGCTCCGCCTCCGCAGCCGCACAAGGGTTTGGGTTTCAGAAGAAATCAGGTTTCTTTCCTTATTATTAAAATTAAAATATCCTGCAGGGACCTGTTTGTATTAAGGTTATTTGCCAGGGGTAAACTGTAAACAACCTGCGCGCCGCTCGGTCCCACCTCCTTCGTCTTCCTCTTGACCACTTGACCGCTCTTTCTCCCGTGGCCATGTGCTAGGGTTTAGTCTTGTAGTACTAGACACAGGGTTTAGGATCCGGGAGGAGCCCGGCTCCCCTCCCAAACCGCTCTCATGTCGTCTTCCTCCCGAGTAAGTCACCCCATCCTTACCTTCTCCGGCCCTCTCTGTCAGCGCCCGCGCGAATCCTGGTAGGACTGTTATTGTGATTGAACCGTGGCCGGAAACGGATCGAACTGCCTTGTGATCAGATTTTTCCTGCGCATTGGGGTGGAATGGGTTCCAGTTGTGCATTTCGCGTGGCTGGTGTGTGCATTCTGTTCATGTGCCATGTTCGTTCTGTGTGTATGTAGGTAAGGGTTGGGACTCTGGTTCCCTTCGTTGAAGGCAAATCTGGGTCACCGAATGCGTCGTCGTTGCCAATGCCAAGCATTCCCATCTTCAAGGGCTCCAATGTCGTTGGGAGGAGTAATTTGGTGGCTGTTGACAAGAGAGTCAGCCGCAAGCATTTGAGCCTGCGCGCCTTGCCTGATGGCTCCCTCGAAGTCGTCGTGGTGAGTACGTCAGAAGGATAGTGGATGATTCCATGATTGATTTTGATTGGAGAAATAAGCTGTTGTAGTCCGACGTCGATGCGTTTGCAGGAGGGGACAAATCCCATTGTTGTCCAATCAGAGGGTCAGAGAAGAAAAGTTTGTGCTCAGCAGAGAGCCAAGATTATGCACGATGATGTCCTGGAGCTGATTCCCGGTGAATATTTTATGAAGTATGTCAATATGAGTGATGAGCGTAAAAGTTCCACATCAGTCGAGTCACATGACTTAAAGAAAGGGAAGAGGCATAGCGAGGAAGATAGTGTAGCTGCGAAGAGAAATCGACAAGTTATGGAAGATGAGGCTTTGGCAAGAACATTGCAGGTTAGTTAGCTGCAAAGAATAACTTATGTCTCGATGATCTTTATGAAATTTCGTTTGGGTGATTTCTTACAGTTCTAAAACAATACTAGTGTCTGATAGTGCAGACTAGAAAGAAGGAACTTTTTCAATGCTTACATAATCTTACAGCGCAAGCTAAAACAAATTAAGCTAGGACTAGGTTTACATGCAGACAAGTTCTTACCTTACATAGCTGCAGATTACCTGACAACATGAAGGTAGTGATTCTTAATCTGTTGTTTGTGTTTGCTCAATGAGTCTCTATTTTTTACCTTTTCTTTTGTTGTGATTTGGATCATCATGTTGAGTTTCAGAAAAACAATTTACATAATGTGTGGTAATCTTCATATTAATAAAGATACACCAATACCAGCCACAGAAATCACTCATGTCATTCAGCTGCTTTACTCATGTAAAGGAAAATAAAATGACGCCTTAATCCATAGTGTGGAATAAATATTACTCCCTCCGATCCATATTACTTGTCGCTCAAACGGATGTATCTAGCACTGGAATACATCTAGATACATCCATTTGAGCGACAAGTAACATGGATCGGAGGAAGTAGTATTTATTTACTCAACATCGAAACCATAATTCATTCAAGACTCGAGTGTTATGTTGTGGAGATTCAGGATGTCTCTGACACAACATGTATAGGTGGATGTCGTATCCATGTATATTACTCCTTACTCCCTCCGATCCAAATTACTTGTCGCTCAAACGAATGTATCTAGCACTGAAATATGTCTAGATACATCCATTTGGGCGACAAGTAATATGGACCAGAGGGAGTACTATTTTGACTTCTTTTTCACTGAATATGCTTCTGTGCTCTGCTGCTATTGTTACTGTTCTTTTGATTTGCAAGTTCATGAGAAATCTCTTGATAGGAAGATAGACAATAGTTTAGCTATCCATGTACATAAAAATACCACATATTATTTTGCATGTCCTTAAAATGTGATGAATTGCAATTGCAAATACTTCGTAATGATGGATTATTCCGCTGGTATAAAAACTCTCCTTTGTGCACTTCATGAACATTCCATGTTCCAGTACTTACCAGGAAGGGAAAGTGAAAACATATGAAATAAGTCAAGTGTTTTTAGCTTAGAGGTGTTTTTTGCTATGTACCATATGTGAGTGATGAATATTTCTTAGTTGAACACTAAATACAATTCCTACTTATTAGGTTCACTCTCTCTTTTTGTTTGGAAAATCTGCAAATACATGTGGTGCAAAAGAGTGCCAAGTGGGGTTTGATTTTCATGCAAACATTCATGTTGACCACATCATTGAACTCTAATCAGGAAAGCTTTGCAGAAGAGAGTACATCTGTTACTGAAGTATTAAGTTCACTTGATAGTGCTGGTTCTTCCGAGAGAAACAAAGAGAGAACACATTCTGTCGGTCCTTTGAAAGATACACTTCCGTTGACTTTTCGACTCATGCGTGTCCAAGGTCTTCCGTCATGGACTAACACTTCAACAGTTACCATTCAGGATGTCATACAGGTATTGCTTATTCCATATGACCACTTTAGTTTAAGTTGTATGAGTGATCGATTTTTTTTAGCATGCTGTATCACAGTATTGTTTAACATATGAGCTTTTTAATGAAAATTGTGAAAATGTTGCGTAAGAGTTAATTCCTTGACCTATTATAAACATGTGATAACGTTCTGGTTATAATTCAGTGAACCTTTCTTCCATGTCATTTTACAGAAACAAAAAGAACTCGAATAAACATTGTTTATCATTTTCACATTCTATTTCTGCATTGTCAGATTTGATCGACAAGTATGCTAGTAGTTCTTACATGATCAGTGAATTATCAGGGTGAAGTGCTTCTTGCTGTACTCTCAAATTATATGGTGGACATGGATTGGTTGCTTACTGGTAAGCAATTTATTATGAAAGTAAAGTTGTTGATGTTTATGTTATGGTAACTAATTTTGTCAAACCTAAAGTTTTTTATTAGAAGGCTGCCACCACTTGGTACATTCGGAACATTAAATGGTGAATCAAATTATGCCCTGTGTCATCTTATATTATTTTGCTATACTGTATGTGCATAATTACATTATTGCAACTCATTGGATTTTTTGGATATCATATTTCTACTTCACCACTTAAGTTTAATGTATTATTCTTCCTTATCTACATTATTTTGTAATAAATATAATCAGATATTACATGTTGCAGCATGTCCAAGTCTAAGGAAAGTTCCACATGTCCTAGTTCTGCATGGAGAAGATGGTGCTTCATTGGAGCGCTTGAAGGTAGCAAAATTGCTTAAACAATCCATTATCTTGTTTATTTAGTTTTCTCATTGCACATTCATTTGTGACAGAAAACGAAGCCTGCAAATTGGATCCTTCACAAGCCCCCGCTCCCAATATCATTTGGAACACATCATTCGAAGGCCATGCTGCTTGTATATCCTCAAGGGATTCGTGTTGTTGTTCACACTGCAAATTTGATACATGTTGACTGGAACAACAAAAGTCAGGGACTATGGACACAAGATTTTCCCTGGAAGGAAGCAAATGATATGAGTACAAATATTGGTTTTGAGAATGACCTGGTTGATTATCTCAGGGCACTTAAGGTAGCAGGGTATTCTCTCTTTGCTTCTACTCCCTCCGTTCGGAATTACTTGTCTTGAAAATGGATGTATCTAGAACTAAAATACGTCTAGATACATCCATTTCTGCGACAAGTAATTCCGAACGGAGGGAGTAGAATATATAATCAACTGTTGCTACAATCCACTTGCTGTGTTTAATAAAATAATTGTTATTCTCCAGTGTATTTAAATTTTAAATTTATTATCAACATTTTGAAGTAAAAAACATCAGTCACTTGAGCTTACCTGAAGTAGAATGAACTAAATAACTATGTGCAGCTTCCAAAAAGTAATACATTCACAAAGGATACTAGAAACTTGTGTTTTTATCTAGTGGTGCACTACTACAACAGAATAAATGTAAAATTATTAGTTTAGCAATTATAGTGTAACTAAAATACTGTTGAATGGTGAAATATGCACTTCAACGTTTAGTCAGATAAAGGTCTAGGAATCGATGGTAAGATAATAGATGGTTCTTATCATATCTCTTACCAGATAAGTCCCTCTGTATGACATATGTCGTAAGATTCAATGCAAAATATCCAAAATAATTAGAAGGATTTTCTACAGATCATGAAACATGATCTGGTTTTCCGTGGAATTTATTTCCGTAAAAAGTTCTATACTGTTCTCTTATCAATTCTGGGAACTACCTGGCTTTCACAAGCCTTATCTGATAGCTCATCTTGAAACTGTCTAGCTTTTAGCCTGTCAGGAAACCACTCCTTATAGTTCATTTTGTCTGCTACTCCTTCTGTAAAGAAATATAAGATCGTTTAGATCAATGAGTTGTGAACTAAAATGTCCTCTTGATTACAATGCAGTGGCCTGAGTTCAGGGTAAATCTCCCAGTTGCTGGTGATGTCAACATCAATGCAGCCTTCTTTCGGAAATTTGATTATAGTAGCTCAACGGTTGGTATATTTCTGCAATCTCACATTTTCTTTAAGCTTTATGAGACATGCTGAATCATAGATATGTTTTTCTTTTCAAATTAGTGGTCTGACATAAAATGAAAAGGGAAAGAAAAACAGACCATCGTGCTTATCAAATGAAGTTACCGATGTAAGTTATTGACTCGGTGTGGCATGATTCTACTAACTCTAGCTTTGCTTGATAAACCATGGCAATTTCTGAAACATGTAGCCACTAGCTCCAGATTATGTTAATCTGTTCTGATACTGCTTAATCTGAAAGTTTCCTGTTGTCCCAAATGAGTCACGAATTCTGTCATTTTGACCAGCTTTATCATGTTCATGCAAAATGACTGCATTGTTCTGTTTCTTGTCCATTTTTAGATCCTGCGATTGGGCACCTTGTACCATTCTGGCAGTTGTTGAAATGAGTCTTAGCATGCATTTTGCTAGAGTGACTGCATTGCGTGTTAAAGGTGTGATACATTGTTTTTTCTCCCTTGCATGTTTTGTTTTAAACTGAAATAATAGGGGATGCTCCGACAGTAATCCTTGCATGTTCAAGCGCCCATTTCCTACACAAAAGGCTTGTCGCTATTTAACCATGATTATGCGACTACTTGCGTATGGTTTGTACTTTGTACTTAAATGTACAAACATGTCTGGCCACTTCAATTACACCCAGGCCCCAGTGTGTTACTGTAAATTAGTCTCAGCTAACTTTGCATCATTTGCAGGTCAGGTTGATCGGATCTGTTCCTGGTTATCATGTCGGCCCCAATATGAAAAAGTGGGGCCATATGAAGCTTAGGAGTGTTCTTGAAGAGTGCGTATTTGAAAAGCAGTTTTGCAAGTCACCACTTATTTATCAGGTACCTTTCATTTTCTCATCCATCTATCTATTTGTTAGGGCATGCAATTTTGCAAGTTGTGGTAAATAAACTTAATAACATTTTATCTTAAGAACTTGATATGCTGATAAACTTGATGCCTAGCAAGCAGCTTTTTCATATAATTACCTTAGAAAAGCCAGTTCCTGACCCGCAAATTTGATTGTTTGCTTAAAGCATCGATATAAGCTGTCATTTATGTTGCACTGGTGGACAAAGAAGCACAACAGTATATTAAATTTTTATGTTGTATCTTGTATTACAGAAGAGTGCAGGATGCATCCCTAGTTAATATCTTCCACTCAGATATGGCATTCATATTTCTTTTCATTTGACTGAGAAGGTTATAATGCAATGTGTCATTGTTTATTTCTTATTTTGTTTGAACTTCTTGAAGGATGCTTAGCATTAATTTCTTCTTGCATGCAGTTTTCGTCCTTGGGGTCACTTGATGAGAAATGGATGACTGAGTTTGCATGTTCGTTATCAGCTGGTAAAGCAGATGATGGATCACAGTTGGGTATCGGGAAACCACTGATTGTATGGCCAACAGTGGAGGATGTTAGGTGCTCAATAGAGGTATAAATTTGAGCTCTGTAAAAGCTTTACAGTTATACTTGCTGTGTCATCGCAAAATTCATGATTTGTTTGTTAATGGCCCCTTGTTGCTTGTGCTTTCTTGACCTGTCTTAGACTTCAGAGCTTGGTAATAGGTTGTGATATACTAATAATCCATGAGATCAGTGCTGGCCCCAAAAGCATACAAACATATAAAATATGTGTGTTGACTTTTTAGATAAATGTTGGCAAGATCCATGATAAGAATTTGGACTAGTCCTTTTTTATTGAAAATTCACCATCTTACCTTTTTCTGTTTAATATTTCATTTTAGGGCTATGCAGCTGGCAGTTGCATTCCAAGTCCTCAAAAGAATGTTGAGAAAGATTTCTTGCGAAAATATTGGTCCAGGTGGAAAGCAGACCACGTAGGCCGTTGGTATGCTCTCCCTTTTCCTGCAGCTACCTGAAAAGCTATCACGTTGGTCAAATGAAATTTCACAGTGCTTTCTAATCTACCAGTACCCCCTCCGTCCCACAATATAAGATGTCTTGAAAAAACGATCTTATATTGTGGGCGGAGGGAGTAGGATATTACTCCCTCAGGTCGCAGTTTTGAACTAGGTTCTAACTATGTACCATTTAAGCCCATTCTATCTGCTGTTATCTACTGTACATTTCTCTAGTTTTTAGGACAGCAGTACATCACGATGGGTAATGTAGCTAATCCTTTGTGTGGTCATTTATGCCATGTGTCACAACAGGATTTGCTTGGGCTGTTTGGTTTTGCCTCATAGTGTGCATTATTGGAAGGCTAGCAACTCGTCAGCACTTGGTGTTTTTTGGCCTTCATTTATGTGTTGTAGCATTAAATCATAGCAACTCGTCAGCAATTATAACACTGATATACTTAGTGTTTTTTGGCCTTCATTTATGTGCTGTAGCATTAAGATATGTTGCCAAAATATAGCATTTGAAAGAAAGCTTTTTATTGATATATCCTGCAAAAGATTGGCATCCTCATACCCTTTGGATACTTCACTGTTTCTTCTTTGGAACAAGTTCTTTTATTACTGACCCAAACTGATATTCTGATCTTGATTTTTTTATCAGCCGTGCTATGCCGCACATAAAAACTTTTACTCGCTACAATGGTCAAAATATTGCGTAAGTATTTATAGCAAGTTATCTCCATTGATGACTCAATATCTGTAATATGTCACTTCATGATGCTTCACAGCACCGATGGTAATGGTAACAGTTTTTGTTGCATGACATTCGACTGAGCTAGATTCACCTTACAAAGGGCCAGTTCTTTTGGGCTGCAGCTTCTCCAGAGCTGCCCACAGTAACTTGAAAACCATTTATCTTCCTCTTCTCTCCTCTCTATTGGCTTCTACTTTGATACATTGACCGGTATGCCACATAAGTAGCTAGCCAGCAACAAGATCCATACGATAGGTGATTTGTATTGATTCTGAAAGTTGAGCCGGTTAAATAGCTGAATTAATAGGTTAATCTGGACTCTGTTAGGAGTAGAGGGGGCTAAAACGTTTTCCTTACCTAAAATCTCTCTATCCCCATCAGATGGTTTCTGCTTACCTCATCAAATTTAAGCAAAGCTGCTTGGGGAGCACTGCAGAAGAACAATACACAGCTGATGATACGATCATATGAGGTACCCAATTGTGATGCTTGCTGCATTTGTATGATTTTCTGGACGCACTAGATTACAGAACTTTAGTAAGAAGCACTACGCATCTGAAGCATTCAGTGTTAGTTGACTAATAGAGTAATTAATAGTCATCATGGGAACATGACTTTACCTTGTCATTTGGCCTCTTTTAAGTTAGGTGTATTGTTCTTGCCCAAAACTCTCCAGTCTGTTCCACAATTTTCATGCACAGACAAGAGCCGCTCAAACCTGGTAACAGCAAATCTTTCCTTATCATTCGAGTATTATCGCTATGCAAATCTGTTCCTCCGATCATCATTTATTCCTCTCATGTATACCCAGGATAAACTTGCCCTTGGTAAGAACATCAAGACCAAGCTGGTGACACTTTGCTGGAAAGGCGATGAAGGGAAGGATCCATCTGCAGAAGCTGTGAGATTGCCAGTGCCGTATCAACTCCCTCCACAACTCTACGGCCCGGAAGGTTAGCCGATGTCATAATGATTGTGGTACTTTCAGCTGTAAAACCTGAAATGTTGTTTTACTTTCAGATGTCCCATGGTCTTGGGATCGGAGGTACACGAAGAAGGATGTGTATGGCTCAGTCTGGCCACGCCATGGCTAGCTTAGCTAAGCTGCGTGCTGATGATTGTCAAGCGCGTTCAGGTCCACACGAACCTGGAGTATGTTGATTGATCGTTGGTGGAATCATCGGTTGATAGGACCTGATTGCTTGTGCACCCTGTTTCTAAGGCCTCTTGCTCCCGGCCAACTGTGGTAGAAACCGGAAGCAACGGAACGAACATTTGTTTGACAGAATTATTTGAAACGTTGGATATTTTCAGCTTACTGGAACGTGCGCAGAAGTTATTTGCGGCTTTGCTGATATGATGTTTATACACCGTCTTTGTATCTGTTCTACGCCGTGCTAAACGCTGTACTCGACCATGATTAGGTTGGTGTTTATACACCATCTTTGTATCTGTTCTACGCCGTGCTAAACGCTGTACTCGACCATGATTAGGTTGGACCTGAGGTCGGGTTTCATTGGTGATTGGCTTGCAATGCGTCCAACTGGATTCTTGCTTTCCTTTTTCGTTTGTTGAACTCGTTATCAACCATTTGTTTGATCCAATGGTAAAAGGAAGAAAATGACATGCTTTGACTCCATAGACCAGAACAACACCTGTATGTAAAGGAAAACCGTAGATGCATGAATTGTGTACTTGCAAAAAAAAAAAAACTTGAGAACATGACTCTGCAAAAGACAAATAAAAGAAATAATTATTTTGCTTTTGAAGCACAATGTATAAATGAATGGTTGAAGTAATATTGACAATGTCAGGTTTAAAGTGGTATAGACTGTTTTTGCCAAAAAAAAGTGGTATAGACTGTTGCCAACATTTCTTTATCATTTTGAACTTTTGTATTGATGTTTGCATGAATATTGTTGTTTTTCCACAGGTGTATTTTATATGCAAAAACAAAAATTAAAACACATATATACAAATCAAAAAGGGTAGGGACCTTGGTATTTCGGTTCGGACGTGTGTGTGTGCGCGCGCGTTTGCGTGTGTGTGTGTGTGTCGGGGGGAGGCACTACTAATGATGGCAACGACGACGCATCCAAGAATAATGCCCCCGCTCCAATCTCGCATCGACGATGTCCATGGTGGCGTCGATGAGTTGGTGGGCTCAGTCTTTGCTGACCCTTCGAGTATGAGGGTTTAGGTTTTCGGTCGGTGGTTCTCGTCCTTGATGATGTCATTGATGGGCGAGAGAGGATGGTAGTTTTAGATCCTTGAGGGCTGAAGATGGCAATGGTGGCTTAGGGGCTCATGGAGGGTGGGGGTGATCCCCGGTCGACATACCACATCGACAAATGCCTTGTCGCTAACATGCTTATTCATTGACTTGCAATGCACTTGCGAGCTATGGCTCTCCTATGAGTCCCGCGACGATTAGCAACAGCGATGGCATTTGTAGGATACCCGAGGAGTGCTTTGTACTTTGCTTCCTTTGGGCAGGTTTTTCTACAAAGTTTCGTTGACATGTGTTATCTCTCGACCCATTTGGATGATTATACGTGGGTGCTTGTATTCACCTTTGTTTTGAAAATAGCTGATTACATAAGAGATTACTTTTGTATGGAAATATTATGTGGCCGAGAGTGTGAAGGGTGGCTTGAACTCATGACCTCTGAAGGAAGGACATGTTGGCTGACCACTTTGAGCTGGAAGCGGGCTGTGAAGATATATGGTTAAACTTTGCTATATTGTTTGAAGCTAAAATGTTTTGAATTTTTTGTGCAAAGAAAAATTCAAAAATCGTACATTTTGGAAGAAGAAAAAACAAAAATCCATAATTTTTGCCATGTGCCCACTACAGATCCTAGAAGTTGTCATGTTTTTTAGAGAACATTTTTTCTAAACTTGCCATGTGCACTTTTTTATAATTTTTGCCATGCTCCCATTACAAATCCCGAAAGTTGCCATGTTCTTAGGGGAGAAATTTTCTAAAACTTGCCATGTGCAATTTTATTATAGGTACCATGGCAATTTCATTTTTAGACCATGCCAATTTTTTTAGTTAAACCATGAAATTTTTATTAATTACACCATGATAGTTCTATTGCAGGTACCATGTCATTTTAATTATTTAGACCATGGTAGTTTTTTGCAGGTAACATGACAATTTCATTATTTACACGATGTCAATTTTTTCAGTTAAATGATGGCAATTTTTTCACTTGGACCATGGCAAATTTATTAATTGGACCATGTTAATGTTGTTGTAGGTAGCATGGTAATTTGTTTTTTAGACCATGGTAATGCCATTGTAGGTAGCATGGTTGTTTTTTTAGACCATGGTATTTTTATTATGTAGACCATGAAATGATAAGATCTAGATAAACACATCACATTTATTTTAATAATACCATTTATAAATTAGTTAAATTACTTTTTTGTAAAGTATAGCGTGCCATCTTTATAATTCAGATCATGTCAATTGTAAAATTATGTTTCTCAACTTCTTTTATAAGATTATTTTGTTCAGGACATTTAAACAAACAATTAAGTGGGCCAATCGTGCATCACCCTGAACCCCACAACGAACGCTCCAGGGAAATGAAATGTTCACTAAAGGGTTCCTCCCCAAGCTGAAGCGTACACTGGAGGCAACACCCTTGCTAATGTACTAGTGGTTGGGGGTGATGCCGCTTGAGAGAAAGTTGTGCGCATATTTTCATTTAAGAAAAATATATGGTCCTCTTCTTTATCTAAAAAACACCACAGAAAAAAATCATCACCTCCATCTAAAAAAGAAATGAAAAAAATTACCATCATAGCCTACCGGCGAGTGCCACTTTGCATAACCCGTCATTTAAAAAAATACGTGGGTTTCTGACCATCATCTAAATAAAAAAATAATCCTCACATCTATCTAAAAATTAATCCGAAAACTTTTTCATCGCTGCCAACTAACTTGCGCCACATGGCATACCTGGTTAGCCGCTAATCTTGCAATGCTTAATGGGTTTAATTCTAGCTATTTGGGGTCTTCTTTGAGGACGTGCAATGCTCGAATATTGATATTGTAGTAATTGCACGTGGATATTAGATAGTACAGAAAAGGACTTTAGTCCCGCTTTATATATAAAGGAAAGATCAACCATAGCCCAAGTACAAACGCACCCCACGACAACACACACACCCAAGGCAGGATACATAAGCGCTGAGCGCAGCAACACCACCCCTAACACTACAAGAGCAATTGGGGACCTCCACCGTGAACATGCCATCACGAAGAAGATGAAGCCGCATATGACGAACCGTGAGCTCCAAGGTGGCACCTCAAAGAAGGTTACGACGCCAACGTGCCATCACCGCCCGACCCGGGGGTCAGAGTTTCCCCTGGAGCGACACGATGACCGATGAGAGCCGCGACGATGCCTTCAAGAAGGTAACGTGCTACGCCACTGCCGGTCCGTCCGAAGACAGAACAGGTTTTCACCCCAGCAAACACACACCGTCACCGAACGCCACACCCTACCACCATGCCGCCCACACAGCCATGGTCATCGGGCAGCACCAAGCCACGGGCTCTACCCATGATACCGCGCTACCACCACCAGGGCTGCCGCCCAGGCATCCGAGACCTTGACACCACCTCACCCAAGACCCGTCGCTACCCCAACCAAAAAGACGAGTAGAAAGGCCACTCCTTTCACACCCCTGCCCCCTCCCCGCGTCGAGACCCAAAGGGCCGGCCAAAAATGGCCTCCATCGACCCGTCTTGCTGCAGCGGATGCAAGACAAGCTCGGTCGAAACGCCCAGCGCGAGACGAGGTCGGTCCTGCTGCCGGGGGCGCGACGAGCTCGGTCCTGCTGTCGGGCGCGAGACGAGCTCTGTCCCGCAGCCATGGGCGCGATACGAGCAATGGACCGCAGCTGGGAGCGGTCCAACCCTAGGACGAGGGTAGAGCCCGGACGAGGAGGGAAGGAATTGAAGGAAATATTGTTGGAAATATGCCCTAGAGGCAATAATAAAATGGTTATTATTGTATTTCCTTGTTCATGATAATTGTCTATTGTTCATGCTATAATTGTATTAACTGGAAATCGTAATACATGTGTGAATACATAGACCACAACATGTCCCTAGTAAGCCTCTAGTTGACTAGCTCGTTGATCAATAGATGGTTATGGTTTCCTGACCATGGACATTGGATATCGTTGATAACGGGATCACATCATAAGAAGAATGATGTGATGGACAAGACCCAATCCTAAGCATAGCACAAGATCGTATAGTTCGTCTGCTAAAGCTTTTCTAATGTCAAGTATCATTTCCTTAGACCATGAGATTGTGCAACTCCCGGATACCGTAGGAATGCTTTGGGTGTGCCAAACATCACAACGTAACTGGGTGGCTATAAAGGCACACTACGGGTATCTCTGAAAGTGTTTGTTGAGTTGGCACGAATCGAGACTGGGATTTGTCACTCCGTGTGATGGAGAAGTATCTCTGGGCCCACTCGGCAATGCATCATCATAATGAGCTCAATGTGACTAATAAGTTAGCCACGGGATCATGCATTACAGAACGAGTAAAGAGACTTGCCGATAACGAGATTGAACGAGGTATGGGGATACCGACGATCGAATCTCGGGCAAGTAACATACCGATAGACAAAGGGAATTGTATACGAGATTGATTGAATCCCCGACATCGTGGTTCATCCGATGAGATCATCGTGGAATATGTGGGAGCCAATATGGGTATCCAGATCCTGCTATTGGTTATTGGACGGAGAGATGTCTCGGTCATGTCTGCATGGTTCCAGAACCCGTAGGGTCTACACACTTAAGGTTCGGTGACACTAGAGTTGTTATGGGAAATAGTATGTGGTTACCGAAGGTTGTTCGAAGTCCCGGATGAGATCCTGGACATGACGAGGAGTTCCGGAATGGTCTGGAGGTGAAGATCGATATATTGGACGAAGGGTATTGGAGTCCAGATTTGTTCCAGGGGTACCGGGTGACGACCAGCGTGTCCGAAAGGGGTTTCGGAGGCCCCGACGAGCGTTGGGGGCCTTATGGGCCAAGGGGAGGGGGCACATCA